CTCCAGACTGACCGATGCAAACCTGGAAAAGCAGTTGTGAGTAGCAACATCATCAATACCAGCTAACATCACACGCCTCATCAAAGAGAAGCAGTTCCAGCCATCACATTATGGGTGAGTTAATTAAATGTTTGACCAAATATAACAGGCTAATTTTTAAGTTGTTAATTTTGTATGGCCCGCGAATGATGTTTTAAATATCCAAATGGCCCTTGGCAGAAAAAAGGTTCCGCACCCCTGGCTTACAGAATGGGCTGCTCACAGAAGAAGAGAGCGTATGCTAACATCCTTGTTCCGGAATGGTGGGATTGTGTTATCTGGCTTTGCCATTATTAACAGGATTTTATCCGCTGCGACACAGTTTCTGATGTTAAATTTAATAATTATGAAAGATAATTCCTTGAACATCTTCCTAACAGAGGATGGTTGTGTCCATAGGCTTGAATAACATCACACAGAGCTGCGTATTGGGGAGGAGGAAAACCTGTCTGGTACCCATAGAAAGTTCAGATCTAGAGGAAGTGTAACAGTTACAAGAGTAGGCAATGGATAAATGTAAGTTGTGGGGCTTTGTTTTTGTATAATCTGTGTAAGGGATTGGCTAATTGATGTGCAGCGTTGTGGGATGCAATCAAATGAATGACGCGAAATAAAATAAAATTATTATTATTAGTATGTGCTTACATATTACCTAGAGGACCGAGACACATTCACCGCATAGCTGCAAAAATAAATAACAATTCAATCCTATCAATCAAACTCCCTGTTAAATGCAACAGTGCCTCATTTATCTGAGTGTTGAACCAGTTTGGTCTTTGTGTCACAAATGAGAGGTGACGGCTTGTGGTCATGACGGACGATGGGGTGACAGCCAAAGGAGGGGACACACCCAGGAGGAAAATGTGGAGAAAAGCAGCGATGTTTTGCATTGCGTTGCCGTGAGAGATCATGACTGCTGCTCATTTCATCAATGTGTTGAATCTGCTCAAATTAATCAGACTATAACTGTTGTGTTTGATTCACGTGACGTTTCTATTCAAAGCTATACTTTACCTCAACTGCACATTATTCGTGCAAATGCACCATTTGAATAAACAGTACTCTGCCCAGTTTAACACGAAGACTTCGCGTTGAACACAGTTTAACACGTGGGCTTTATGGATAGCAATGTACCCACAAACATTCAGCGACATTCACGTGTCACACCTGAATATGTAACTATACTTAATCTTCACGGCATGAAGAGGGCAACTCAACTGGGTATTGCAGAGGAAGTTATAAAGGCTGTTGAAACTTCATTTTCAAAAAGCAAAACCTGTTTACGAAATGTTTACACAGATCTGAAATATCGTATCTCGCTCGTGGAATGATGCCTCGTGACACGTGGAAGCGAGTGGAATTGTTGCCATCACGGCACCATGTTGGGATAGTAACAGCGTAGATAGCCTCCATCCAGTAGTGACTAAACAATGAATGTGGTTACTGCTTCTGATGGTGATGATTATGATGATGTGTTTTTTTGTGGATTGTGTTTAATTAAAAATAAGTCCAAGATTTCCCATCGACGTCTATTTTAGGCCAACCTTGGTCTGGCCTTAACATTATTTGATTGAACATACATATGTACAGCACACTCCAAAGGCACAGCTGTGGAAAAATGCAAACTAATACAAAAAACAAACATTCTAACAAAGTGTGTCAGTGTAAACATAAGACAAAAAGGTAGATGGAATAAATATTTTACAGCCGAAGGTGGGGTTGGGGGGGAGCAAGGGTAGTAGTAGTAGTGGTTGTTGTTTGGTCTTTTTGAATGCGTGCATGACACCTTCAGCTGTAAAATATTTATGCACACAAGTTGTATTGGGATAAATTACACCACCCACTTGTTTGTCATACTAACCTTGGTAGATGCTCGTGGGGATCAGCAGTGCAACAGTTAGCATGCTGCGCTATGACCCTGGTGACACGAGTTCGATTCCTGCTCAAGGCCAACACAGTGGGCCTCCCCTAGGTCGACTCAGCATCAAATGAGTACCTGGTTGGATGTGTAAAAATCGCCACTGGGGAGACAACGGTGGCGGGGGTGTGGTGCTGGCCACCCACCCCCCCACGTGCCTCTCTCCTCCCCCTCTGGACCGATCATCATCTGGCTACGCTGGTGGCCACCATCTCTTCAACCTTCTCCACCCAATTCGTGGTACATCTGTTATATTTATGCCCCTTTTTCCAAAAAAATTATATTAAGAATAATTAGGCCAATATATATATATTTTGTTTAATTAAATAATTAAAACAACCCGCTACTCCTCACAGGCCACGCCAGGCATTTGAAAAAAACGCGGAATGCCATTAAAAACTGCAAACGTCAGCACCAAGCCCCGGCCACCTTTGTCTTCCAACGGTTCGGCACAAAAACATGACAGCCATAAATACTTAGGGGGTTAGATCGGTCGCGAGGAGGGGTTTATGACCTGACATTCCTGGGACGTCTGTTTTTCTGTTGTTGTTTCTCTCGTAAGAGATGCGCAGAGGGGAGGGGTTCACGTTTTTGGGTTTTAAGCACAAACGCACATCACGCAGTTCAGTTTGGGTCGAGTCGCGCTCAGTCTTGTGACTCGGCTTGCGACGCAGCGTTGCGAGGGAGGCTCGCAAGGGAGTTGGGGCGGAGGCTTGCCGAGGCATCAACACCAACCATGGGTGCCGTGCCTCGAGGGGAGATGGGACGAGGAGGGGTTGTTAGGGGCTGAGTTCGGTATGAGCCGACAAAGTTGCGACAACAAGCAATCAACCTGGAGAAAAGGGCGGAAATCGCCAAGCATCGACCAAGCGAGCATCGCAGAGGACCAGCAGCAGCGGATGAGCGACGAGAGCCAACGTGCATCGCCAGAGAGAACGGAGCTGTGGAAAGAGCCTGATCGGCCGCCCGTGAGGAAGAGGAGAGCGCCATCGAATGCGCCGTGTGTTTAATACACACACACATCGACCAGCACCCGCTGAGAACCGACTCGTCATCCAGCAGTGGAGGAGCTGCACGCTATCCGACGACGGAATCATTGCGCACCACGACGGCGAGCGTCGTGCCTACTCGTCATCCAGCAGTGGAGGAGCTGCGCGCTATCCGACGATGGAATCATCGCACCACGACGGCGAGCGTCGTGCCGACTCGTCATCCAGCCGTGAAGGAGCTGCGCGCTATCCGACGACGGAATCATCGCGCACCACGACGGCGAGCTTCGTGCCGACGCCACTCATCTAGCAGTGGAGAGAGTGAGCAAACGAGCAGAGACACGCCCGAGCGAGGGAGCAGGGCGGGAAGCTGCTGCTGGTGGTATACCCCTCCCCCACCCCCCGCAAGCTAACGACACAACTCCCGGCTTAAAAAAAATAAAATTTTACAAGGGGACAACGCACACACAACACGCACACGAATAAGACTATTTCCAAAAGTTATCTTTGTGTTTCGAAAAGGGTTGCCATTTCAAGGTGGTGCATTCAATATTAACTGATCATGAAAAGCAGTTGCTGCCGATCGAGTTACATGAATAAGAAGTGTTTTAGTCATTTAGTTTCGTTAATTGCATAAACTTGCCGATGAATCTATTGACGTATGCTTTCGCCTTTGCATATTAGAGTGTCATATGTTTGTTTAGAATTAAAATTTCTTAACACAAAGTGGTTGAGTGTTTCTTTCCAAGTCCATGCAAAACTCTTATTTATAAGAACTGTATCCTGCGTTGAGATATGAAATTGGAGACCTAACATAACATAAACACACAAGATGATCAATAAATGTTTAATCAAATATAATCGTTTTATCCTGATTGATACAACTCTGGATAACGAAGCTAAGCTAATTATCATAACTACATGCATTAACATAAGCGCAAGCATTCGCATAAATCAATACGATTATCTCCGTGATTATCATAATTTATGCATATAATTACATGCATTACCATAATTTCCGGGAATTATGAATTTTTCCAATTTGTTTAAAATTGTATTATTTTTATCAAAATTTCATAATCCGACATATACAACACCTACATCCACCGTTGCTTTAACCCTGGGCACCTGTGTGGTCATTGGTTACGACCTTGCTGCCCGCTGGCTCATAGTTAAGGGGTGTTGTGTGGCTGGGAAGTTACCTGCGTACATAAGTGCTTTGACAACCCCGGCTAGCTGGTCCAAGGTGGTCACTTATACTCATCACCAACTTCTGAAATATGGCAACGAGATACTCCCGTAAATTTCTGCTGGGCCTGAAATACACTTCGCGTCATCCTGACCCAAGCTTGTCTACTCGGCTTGTCAACTGCTGGGAATGTTACAACGACGGCCAAATGAAACACTGTGGGTCGAGTCGCAGTGGAAGAATTAATTCATCAATTGGCCTGACTCGTTTATACCAACAAACCCACCATTTATTCTGTTCGCTGTCTCGGTTCCCTTCTACACCTGCACCACATGGCCATTACTTTTTTTTGGAGGGGCTACTGATATTCTCTGCCTCACTGAAACGTGGCATTCGTGATAAGATGTTTCTCCTTTTCTTGACTGTCCCTTCAGTATACCACTACTTTGAATGTGCTCGGTCTTCAGGTCGGGGTGGTGGTGTTGCAGTCATTGCAAAATCGAACTTTAAATTCGTTAAGATTAAATGTTCCAGCTACTCCACCTTTGAACATCTTCCTCTTCAATCACCATTTTTTTTTAAACTGAAGCTGCCTATGGTTTACCGCCCACCCGAGACTAATTAACTTTTACAGTAAGATAATCGATTATCCAGTGGGTTCGGGAGGGGGGAAGGGGGTGCCGGATTTTCACAAACACTGGATAATCACCATTTTGCACATTCTTGTATAACATGTTTTAGGTGTTATGTATATATATATTGAGTGTTTTAAATATTTATACTATATGAAATTTGCATTAAAAACGTACAAATATTCAAAAATAAATATCCTACTATTAAAAGTTACTGTATTTACTGTACTTACCACTCCAATCTCGACGACTTTGCATGGGGTGATGTACGTACCATGCTCTTGTGTCAACAACTCGATGTGTTTGACGATCGCCTGACAGATGATGTAGACTTTAGACCCGTGCTCGTGCAAACGCCGAATTGCACAACGCACTTTTCGCCGGATCGTGCTGTATATTTTGTTTTTATTCCTGTAGTTATTAGTCATTGAAACTTATATACGTGTAGTATTTTTTTGTTTAAATTGTATGCAGTGTATAATGTGCTGTAGATCATATTTGACACTGAAATCAAGCATAGCTACTCTTTTGTCACGCACGTGGTACCAATCGCTGGACTGGTTTACAGCCTTTGAAGCAGTTTTGCCGGATCGGTCCAGAAATTCCGGATAATGTTGGAAGCCGGATAATCGCGCGCCGGATAATGGATGATAAACCGTCATCGGACTTCTCAGATTATGCTTCAGGGCTCAGAATGTCCTCTCCAGTAATAATTGCTGGTGATTTGAATGTCTATGTTGACAACCCTCTAGATCTTCATGTATCCACATTCTTGTCCGTTCTGGATACCCTTAGTCTGACTAAATGTATTACGTCTTCTACAAATTCCAACAGCAACATATTCGAGCTGGTTATTTTAAACAACTTTGAAATTACGTTTTGCTCAATCTTCCCTGTTATTAACAGTGACCACTACCATATTGACTGTGCCCTTTGTCTTCCAAATATTCCTCCTAATTTCACCAACTTTTCTTATCGATCTTATCAAAATATCTCCCCTTCTCTACTCTCTTAACATATTCTGGCTAAAGACACCTGTTTTCTTATTCCTGCGCTATGAAGTCTGGAAAGAGCCCCCAGCTTTATCCAGTGCTGAGGCGAACAAAACTAGTGAGTGATATATCTGGAACTGGTTCTGTCTTCGTGAAGTATAGTTAAACAAATTCAGCCCTCACCAACATCACCCTTCCCCCATGGATGACAAACATGGGGTGGCCTTCATCTAGAAACGGATCGACAGAGGCGAGGGGGAAGGTGAGAATGTTTGTTATTAGCAGAATAGCGGATTTAGCAATTCCCGCAATCAGAGAAAACGCCGGAAAAGAGTACCAACGGGGAGAGATCACTCGGGTGACTTGTTGATGTGTGCGTCCATCGCGTAGCCTCGAGTGACTCTGACATTTTCGGTAATCCAAGGCCGTAATTATAATATATATTGGGGTGGGGACACATCCCCCATCAATATTCAAATATGCTCTAAATGTCCCCCCCCCCCCCCAATATATTGCTATTAAATGGATTTCTGTTTATATGATTGTGGTTATAGTTGCACTTTATTAATCCCTAATCTCTGCCATTACATATGTAGGGCTTGAGATAGCGCGCCACGCATCCCCCGCCTCTGTTGCTATGCCAGCAAGTACAGTACAGTGGGGTGATGTGAGGTAATGGTTGTTGTTGTGGCTTTAGGCAAAGTGGGTCGTTAAGGGTTGAAACAGGTGTCAGGGTAGCCGGGAGGACACAGGCTAGTGATTGGCTGGAAAGGTAATTGGGCATTAGCATGGCCGCTCCGGCGGCGAAAACAAGGCCACGTGACACTGGGGGGCCAGGGGGCGAGCGATAAGCGGGGGGTAGAGATGATTAGGGCAGATTAATTGGTGTGGGGATATAAGCCAGAGCGCAACGGAGAGAGGGGAGTCCTGTGCGAGTCGGCGTCGTGGATGGAGCTGTAGCAACGGTGCCCGGGGAGTCGCAGAGCAAGAGATAGTAGAGTAAAGCGTAGAGAGACAGTGTTAATAGAGTAAAGCGTAGAGAGACAGTGTTAATAGAGTAAAGCTTGGAGAGACAGTGGTAGCGAGAACGCAGTGATCAACCAGGGTAGCCATGCATCGGAAGGATGCAGAGTAGGAGAAACCGTAGACAACAAGCGTAGCGATAGTGAGGCGGGGCGACGCGGAGAGGAAAATAAAAAGGAGAGAAAGACAACCCTTGTACGAGTCCTACACATACAATGAAACAGGGAAAAGTAAAAAAAACAGAGCAATCTAATACAATACACTATTAGACATTATTGTAAAAAATTAATAAAAAGTCTATCCTATGTGTGAGTGAATTTTTTTTTTATTTTAGGCAGGAAATTCGTTTTCAAATTTAGGTATATTTTTTCTGGGGGCGGGGACCCCCAAACCCCTGGAAGATTTGGTCCCCCCCCAATGTTGACTCCATGGCTACGGCGTTGCGGTAATGCAAAGGAAAAGCATAATTCCTAACGGGGCTTCATGGTTATAGATTAGCACCTCCGATTAGCATGGTTGGCTATGTACGGGTATGAAAGAAGTTCGACATTTCCATGCAAATGGTGTGGTTACAATGATTAATATGCCTTTAGAATATGTGAAGGGATAAACAGGTGAATGAGAACCCTTAAAGTGTAATATACTTACTGGAAATACACAAAAACGATGCAATACAATTGTGAAATATGATTACAAAAGTTATAGGACACTGATATCGTGATTATTGTCACATCGTGAACATTAATATCGCATCGTGCAATAATTACACTGCGGCAACCCTAAATCTGAAAACGACAACAGGGGAAGTCACGGTTATAATAAAGAATCATTGTTATTGCGTATGTTGTGCATTTACGTGAATTTGGTTTTTTACTTTACATCCAACCAATTGCATACAACACAAATGGATCAGCAACAAACAGGACCCTGCGGGGTGGGCTGGTAGGAACGAATAACCAAAGAATATAAACATAATGTATTATTACACTTGTTTAGCCAGGAAAGCCCCACTGAGTCAAAAGGTTTTTGTAGGGTCCTGCCAAGTGTTTGCAGTAGGGGGCGATGTTGCTACACCTAATCGGACGATACGAAGGGAGAGATTGTGGCCTAGTTCTAGGCTTTAGGCCTAGCTGTAGGCTTTAGGGCGTTGTGAGTTAATTTTTAATTTAAATGTTTTAATTATTTATGTAAAAGCTTTAAATTTAAATGTTTGTATTTAAAAACATGAGGGAATGTAACATTGTTAAACATTAACTCCCTTTCACACACGCGGGGGTACGATACGAAGGGAGAGTTTCAGGCCTAGTTCTAGGCTTTAGGCCTAGCTGTAGGCTTTAGGCTGCCGTGAGTTAATTTTTTATTGAAATGTTTTAATTATTAATGTTAAAGCTTTAAATTTAGATGTTTCTATTTAAAAACATGAGGGAATGTAACATTGTTAAACATTAACTCCCTTTCACACACGCGGGGGTACGATACGAAGGGAGAGTTTCAGGCCTAGTTCTAGGCTTTAGGCCTAGCTGTAGGCTTTAGGGCGCTGTGAGTTTTTTTTATTTAATTTCAAAGTTTTAATTAAAAGCTATCTCAGGGAATTATAAGGGAATGCTACACGTGTTTAGCCAGGAAAGCCTCATTAATTTAAATGTTTTAATTAAAAGCATTCTGAGGGAATTATAAGGGAATGTTACACTTGTTTAGCCAGGAAAGTGTCACTGAGTCTAAAGGTTTTTGTATGGTCATGCCAAGTGTTTGCAGTAGGGGGCGATGTTGCTACACGGATGGACGGTCGGACGGACGGACGGACGAAATAATCTATTGTGGGCTGGTCCACTTCGTTCCTACCAGTATAAGCTGTTGGTAAAACGGTGCAACATTCCTGCAGTGTTGTTTTTAACTGCACGTGTTTTTGTCAAGATGGCTTTATTTGTCATAGGGTGCAAATAATGTTAAAATAGTTGAGTGTGCAACTCTCAAATTTAACGAAAGCCATTTTGGAGTGTTGTTGCATATGCGGCAGCACTGCTCGAAGTTTATTACGTTTAATGCAGTGAGCACTCAAGAGACGAGGATTAAGTCTAATTTGCAAGAGCGACCTGGAGCATTAGTCTGCTGATTGCTGCTGTGTATTACAGCATTCCCTCGTGAGGAATACGTTTTGGAGATGCTCATGAATGTCATATTTCGCGGATAATGATATTTGCTAATGAAAACATATCTTGTTAATTAATTACCTTAAATACACAAATAAGCTATTAAATACGGGAAAGTAACCTCATCACTTTCTCATCAAGTTATCGCATTACTTTCTCGCATCATATCTCTCATCACTATCTCTCATCACTTGATATCTCATCACTTTATCTCTCATAATTTTATCTCGTCATATTTCCTTTCATAATTTTCTCGCATCACTTTCTTTCGCTCTTTCGATGCAGTCCTGTAGAGTTCCAGATGCGATTCGCAGTTCGTGAATCACGAGGGAATACTGTCATCCCAAGCGAGTATCCTTTATGGGTTACAGTCTGTTCTCCTATAACGCGGTAGTTACGTTCCTGAAGAACACCACGTTATGGAAAAATCGCATTATAATATAACATAAGATAAAGCACGGTTCGTGATAACACGTGAGATGCGTATGCAGGCTGAACAAAGACTGAGGTGCGTGGGTCGCATCTAGAAGCATCCAGCAACATCTCGCCTTGTGTGATGCTACACCAATTCGCATCCGCGTTACAGGAGAACAGACTGTACTTTTTAGAATTGGAAAATGTTGGACCCTAACGCCGGCGCACAGTGACCTTCTCTTGTGAATGACGTCAGGGGACCTTGAACATCCACTGTGAAGTATTAATATGATTATTACAGCCTCGGTTATAACCAAGGTGGCCACTGGATTAAATCCGTGAACCTTGCATGCAACAAGCGACGTACGCGCTATGGCCATGGCACTGCTGTGATTGGCTGGATGGTATTGGCATCAACAAGGCGAACACTGCCAAAACTTGATGAGTTTAACGAAATCTCATTTGAGTTAACAAAGATCCCCCGTATAGCCTCAACAAACTGTAGGGGCAAATATTGTTGGCAAGAACCGATGAAGGCCAGCAAGACACACAAGAGGATGGATGGCCAGCACCACTCCCAGCCACCTTTGTCTCCCAAGTGGCGATGTTTACACAGCACACCTGGTACTCATTTGAAGCCGAGTCAACCTGGGAGAGGCCTACAACCAGGTTAGATACTGTATTCACCACTGGTGTTTGCCGAAAGCAGGACTCGAACTCGGGTGGCCGGGTTCGTAGCGCAGTGCACTAACTGCTGTGCCACCGCGCACACACAAACACACTTTAGACACTTTTTGTACGCACTTGGAAATACAACACTTAATTATTCAGCAATCTTAAGCCTTTATTTCTTACTTCAGAGAAATTTACACACCAGATATTTTCCACACTTAGAATATAGAGGTGTTTACACCACCGGACGTGTTTATATTCAAATATGAAGAAAACCAAACTGGTGTTGAAAACGAACCACCGTATTGAAATCAAATCACATGTTGTCTTCACCCAACCCCCCAGTAAATATGTAACGTTGAGCCAACGTTGGTCCAAACGTTTTAATATTGTGCTAACGTTGGCTCAACGTTGCACGTTTATTGAGCTGCTATTTAAAAAAAACATGCCGGGCCCCGCCTCGGCATGAGGAGGCTAAAGTCTATCCACAGGCACATTCACACCTTCCGCTGGCGTGAATGTGAATCGCAGTATAGACATGAAACCAGCGTCACGATTGGCTTGAAGAATCGTAAGATACAATCAGCGATGTCCCGCGCAATTGCTCCTCTTTCCTATGTACTGTGAAAACGGGCATTGCCCGAAACGTCCCCTACTATAACCTTTTTTTCTTTTTAAGGTGACAATATTATCGACGAATGTGTTTTTTTCTTTTTCAGTGGTGAACAGCTAGCTTCTGTTATCCTGTGCAACTTTGCCGATGTCTCCTTAAACATATGAATGAACAATTATATTGAAGATAAACTCCAAGAGTAAAAACTCATTTCATTAAAATGAACCCCAGCGATTATTAAAGAGAGATTACACACCATTGCAATAATGTGCACCAAGCAGCACCAATAATGTCTTATACAATACAATAGATATTTATTTCAGATTTTAATTATGTTTTGGAGACATCTCAGTTAACATCCAACTTTGGCGTGTTGTTAGAATTTTCCAACAACGATTCATGTTTACTGAAATTGTGTCCATTTATCCCGTTGTTTGTACTCTTCACACCGATGCTAATGATTATTGTGATTGTGTGTGTGTATGTATTGGGGGCGGTGGTGCAGTAATTAGGCTGTCAGTCTATATTGTGGAAACGTTTATACCTATATTCATGACAGCGGTAGGCCAGAATCTAACAGAATTATCGCGCAAAGCCTTAGCCTAAAGGAACACACAATCCACAACAACACTCTGCCTCCTTCATAGACACGGAGCTTCGTTAATGAGGATAAAAAAAATGGTACACAATGTATGTTGAACTTATTTCGCACCGTACGGAGCCAACCGTGCTAACCACAGCTTTAATCATAGGATGACCCTGGGTCTAAGAGACCATGTGTATCAATGCCCTCTGTAGACACTTTACCCGCTATTGCATGATGTTATACAACACATTTAACATCTTATTACATAAAGGGATAAATAATTAATCTTTTGAGTGAGCAGATTAAATATTATTGCTTATTCATAATTGATTTCGTTCGTAAACCTTCACCACCTTACAAAGCCAAACAAATCAAGCTGATTGATTCTATCAGGTGGTGGAGGGTTAGAGTAACATTTTGTTTACGTGACTAAACCGACACGATCTAGCCCAAATAGAAAATAATTCAGAATCGTAATAATATTGGTTGTGAAAGTCTATATATGAAATTACACATTATTACTTGCACTGTACAGAGTGGTGCAGATGTCATGTGACCTTCAATTAATTGACCCATAACATGTTTTCCTTTGTATATTCATTGTATATTCATTTATATATTAAATGAACCTGTAAGTTTAGGATAATTAAATGGCCGTCACACGACATCTGGGCAACCCTGTAAATGTCTTCCAGGACCGGACACTGGAACAGTATAGAGTAATTCAAGGCTGAATTCTCGAGTTAAAATAACCACTCATTCATGGAATTGGCTAAACATCCCAAAGCAGGACCCTAAAAAAGCGCATTCTTATTCATATTAATATGTCTAATGAGTAAGTGCTGTAGTGTTTTTGTGGATTGCATCTGCTTTGTGAGAGGGGTCTGGAGTCTCAGCTCGAACCAGCGAACCACAGTTTTAATAAAAAAACTCATAGAACACGGTTTCCCAAACTCCAGTCCGCGTGACTCACTATGCTACGTCTCTCGGCATTTACAAATTTACCCCCCATTCAAATAAAATGAACTCGTTCCACGCCGCACGAGCCCCATGATTGTTAAACACGTCTAACGTGACGAGAGCTAAGCAATTAACGCTATACGCGTCGCGTGGAACCACGAGTGCACACACACACAGATCTAAATATTTATTTGATTGTGCTATATTTACACAGACAGCGTTAATTGATTATCACATCACATTGGACGTGTTTGACAATAATTTGGCCCGTGCAGCATCGAACAAGTTCATTTGTATTTAAATTGGGAGTAAATTGGTAACTCTGAATCAGAAAATGTATTCATACTGGAGGAATCCGGTGAGCTATAAAGCTATTTTTTATCCACAGACGTCCAGTCGGGGTAGATGAGAATGTAGTAGGGGCGCGTCAGAACGTAAATGTAGAAAGACAGAGTATGATGGGTCGCGAGGACTGGAGTTTGAGAACCTCGCCCTGCAGACATCCAGATCACCAAAATGCACGAAAATTCACCTGAATGATAAGCAACGAAAAGCATAACGGTAATCTATGCGGACTCTAATTATACAATGGTCCTCTAGTATTTTAAGTTGTCTTAAAGACATAACAAATATCAATCTCGTCAGTGCAAATTTCAACAGATACCCTTTTATCGCTTTGGGTCAATTTATTCAATCACAATTTGATGTCAGCGGAGATCAACTTCATAATACTTACAAAGGTGTCCAATAATGCCGTTCAGGGCCAGATTCATGAGTGCCAATATCATGGGGGGAGGACCAAGAGGAAAATGCTTTGTGGTTAACGGACCAAGCTATCTGCTGCACCGTCTCACATATCCATATATTATGAACCACTTGGGACTGCAATTGAAGAGAGGAGGTTTAGACACAATGGATCTCTAGAGTTAACTGCAAGTTGCGTTTACAATGAAGTTACCCGCATATGTCAGGAGTCTCACAAGCACAATATTTTTATGTGCCTAACGTTTTATGGCCAAACGTTAGGATTACATTGCATTTATCTTGGAGAAATTCGATTCAATGCTTTCATTTTGTTTAGTCAGATCATTACATTGTTATTGCTGTCTTTGATGTCATTCGTTACAATTTTGCAATAGAATGTGTTAGTGGAATTATTCAGTAAAACGCAGATCCAAAGCAACGCAATTATTATTGAGCAAGAAAACCATGCATAGGCAATTCAAAAGACCGCACGGGACGTACACGGTCCCCCCATTGCATGCCAATCAAGAAACTTACACAGTCTAATTAACAAGATATGCGCAAGAAACATAGGTTTGAGTGGCACGTGTGGTCTTTTTGAGTTGTCCATCACTGTGACACAAAGATTTCCGTACCACACAGCACGTACGCATGTACGTACATGTTGGCACACATGCTCGCTCTCTTGCTTCCTCACACATTGGCGGTGGTTGCAACTTGGCTGAACTGCACGGGAGAGCCTCGTCCGTTGGGGCTGCTCCCACCTTTGGTGCGAGTGACAGAGGTCCACGATTAGTATGCATGTTGAACTTCTTTCCCACCGTACGTAGCCAACCATATTAAATGGAGGTGCGGGGAATGACAACAAACTGGCAGGCGGTGATGTATCACCCGGGGAGATTTACTGGGGTTCTTTTGGTGATTTGTAAAAAAAAATTACGTAAAAAGAGGATGTATATGATGAATTTTCTGCATCGCTTCTCTTATCAATGAAAAAAATAGATTAAGCATTTTTTGTATTCATTCGATGCCACAGACAATAGTAAAGAATGGCTAATAGACAGGTCTCACTGCAATTGACGCGATTATGAACATAAGATGCAGCAAAGAGTCTGGTGCAAACGAGCATGCACTTACGACTCTGGCTTCGTTTCTTGATGAACAGCACAACGCAGGCCACCGCGATGATGGCCACCAGCAGTCCACCCACAACGCCAGCAATGAGACCCACTGCACCCGGTGAGACACAACACACACACAGTGCACTGTAGAGCTGGTAGACTGTGAACCACGAAACTTATGTTGCCATCCTGGCAGTTGCATATCCATATTTTTTTCTCAACTGCAAGTGCGATTGCTGATATTCTCCGCGTCATAATTAGGCCCAAGCGGAAATACAGTACCAAATATGTTTTGAGAAAAAAGATGTTGTAGCTTGCAGGAATATTTTAACCTATCGTCAGCAAATTGGTTTTGGACTTTTACCCTAAGCTATGTCTGGGAAAGTCTTTGCTCAGAAGTATTCATGGATAACACCTGTCACTCGCGAGTGTCATGTCAACTGTTATTTTGGATGGATAGCTTGACTCCCATTGTCCATAGTTCAGGTTGTTTATTAGCCATGTTTATCAAATGGCCCTGCTTTTGTTTTATGCAACACCTGCAAATTCTACATTCATATGTAACGTGCTTGGCACTATCGACCATTGGCCGGGTCGCCATTGAAAACGAGCTTCTTAAGCCCAATGGCCCTTACCCGAAAAAAACTGACTGAACTTGCTGACCTGCCCAACACATGTGATAACTTGAGAAATCATGGAAAACATAGCTTTGGTAAAGATCCAACTTGAGTTCTCTTTCAACTCGAATTATGGGATAAATGTGGCCAACTCAAGTCGCTAGAATACAAGGTATTGTTGGCTTGATAAAAATGTGCTGAGGGCATTAATTATATCACATTTTTGGGTTTCTGATCCATGGCACTGACTCAAAGTAGTCATCTTTTGATAACAATGGCAAAAGGTCAGTCACATTGATAGTAGGGCAGATGGCACAAGTTGGCAATGATGTAAATTCAACCATAAACTATGTAATTATAGGGGTAGAATGATCCAACCCAGTTGTCATGATTCAAGGAGGCACGATTCGATTTTAGTAATACATTTTAGTTTTTTTGCTTTACATTGCGGTGAATGTTAGTACCTCTAGTGGCCGCAAGGCAATATGAACACATTAAATGCAACGAAAAAAAAAATAACTTATGGATAATATTGGTCGCGAAAGCCTACGGGTTAAACTTATATCATTAAGTCAATGGTGATGTAGGTTTTCAGTTTACGCCTTTTGCCCAACGTCGCGTTTTCCATGGACGTATCCCCAATGTAAATAGAGGACTTGCCATAGTTACTGTCGCTGCTGGCGGAAGGGCCTCCACCAGAAAACGCTCTATAGATCCCTCTGGAAGTTATGTGTGGCCTACCCCCTTCCATACTGGCCAGGCATCTTGGAAGAGGCCGGTGTGTTTGAACTTTACCCCACCGACTCCCGACCTGCCGATCGACAACCTCTGGTGGATAGAGGCGATGAGGTTTAAGAAACGTTCCCATTGTTTCAACTCCTGCATTGCCGAGATATCGAATTGAACCAGCGACCTTTGAACTGCAAGTCCAGTACACTAACCGTTACACCATGGCTGAATTTATTCTTTACTTTAAGCTGGCAAACAATTCCGTGCAATATGGTGTGTAACTCACCATCAGGCCCGTTCTCCTCTTCTATCAAAATCCGATTCTGCGTTCCGCAAGCATCCACTTCCTTGGTGCATTCCATGGTCTCACAGTCTGAGGTCACACACAAAACGTACAAGCAAATAAAACCTCTTAAATGTGCCCGATCTCTTCGGAACTTGGAAGCTGAGCAGATTTGAGCCTAGTTAGGATTTTAATGGGTGTTATATGCATGGGGGTAGCGAGGTAACTAGGAGATGGCAGTACGGAAAGAGATTCAGCTTCAGATTGCGAAGCGTTGAGTCTTATCACCTCATCTGCGTGGGGTTTCTCCCGTGTCCTCCCACATAAAGACAGACAACCCTTAATAGATTGGCGAAACATCCCAATGCAGGACCCTTGTGAAAGAGAGTCTTGAGACTCAATGAGGCTTTCCTGGATGATTGCAGATAATATTATTAAATGTATATGCTGCCACAATTGTGCCAAACTTTTCAAATATCAAGGTCTCTCAAATGTGTGTTTTTATTTTACCTGACTGGCGTCATACCATATTTGCCTGTATTCCTGTCTGGCTGGCGCACGGCTAAGTCCATGTGCGAACGTCACTGTATCCCACAGCAGTTTGTGCGTCGCACTGACATCCCTCCTACACCCACCCAACCCTCCACTCCGGCCGGCTCTGGGTGCCGCACAAATGCACGGCATATGCTATCATACTATCATACTACATTAGACAAAAGACTGGCTGGCTGTCTGTGGAGGGAAGGACATGTGCAAAAAACCTGTGGACTGCTAGTTTTCTTAAAAAAGGGTTCTCATTTTTTGGTTAATAAAATATTCTCCGCTGGGTCGTGAGGATGAATATGCACAGGTCTGCATGATGCGTCGAGTTACTGTGAGTGTTACCTCGTAGGCCCCCAGCTGTAGCCTCTGTGAGCTGCAAACAGAGGCAGAGTGCATAATCCCCCTGGTTGATACGTGGCCTACCCACAGACTGAGAGTAACCAGGCACTCGCGCACCAAGGCTAAACCTGCACGGGCTCTATGAAAAAGGAATATTGAATGAACACCGGGGCAGATAGAGCTCGCTTAGCCTGTTGAGTCAAATCTGTCTAGAAAAAGGAAAACTCCGATTGCAAACCCAGATTGTCTTGTTTGTAAGCAACAGAGATAAGGTACCTCACAAGTGGTTACCCACGAGAAGGATGAATGGTTGCAGCCCAGTGGACAATGAGACAATGATTATTGATCGTGAAACCGACTTGGATGACACTGGGTCAAACGAGATCCATGTTAGGTGTTGAGGAACCCAGCATTGGGGAGAAGTGGACTCGGGGGGGGGGGGGGGCTACTGCCGCAGATGACGTTTTCATGACGAAGCAATGGTAGAGTAACCGGTACAGATCAAGATGAACCAAAGATGACAGTGTAACAGTGTTGGATACGAAATACACACGACACATAAATGCCAAGCACTGAGCCATAAATGTCTGAGATTCAGAGATACATGACAATCCTTGCGACTTAGGTTGAACGAAAAGGGCTGAAGACTCGGACACAGGCGATTTCCTAGACAAGTCTAAAACAACATTGGACTCTGGACCTCGGCATGAATGCCCACTTTTCATGGGGAATTTGAATGCAAGGGTAGCAACTGACTACGGTACTGTAGACTAAAGGAGCTCTCCTGCAGCTGCAACGGCTTACAAAAAACAAACATTTCAAGCGTAGGACAGTTTGGAGTGCCATTTCCCCTTGAATGTGTCTCAACAACAAAGGTCTTAATATCAATAATTTATTGTTAACAAAGTCACTTCCTGACAGGTAGTGCCCTCGTTTCCTGATTCACAGCTATAAATGTGACATTTATAATGGAGACTGGAAGAAAGTGGCTTTGCTATGGAATGTGCAGGTGATGCAGCTGCACTGGGTACCACGGGACAGAGGGACGCAGGCGCCGGGCTATGAAGAGGAGGGAATATAAATGTATCGTTAACCGTTCACCACCCGACACAACCAATTAGTAAGGTTTGTCACGTAAACAAAACTAAGCAAATTAGTCACTACTTCGGCACATCGGTGTGATGGCGAGGTAAACTCACGTCATTTACAATTGAGTGCGATGTTTCACAGGTAATTAAAACCAGCTTCATCAGGCGAGCAGTGAAGAAGTCTTCCTGCTTCTGGTCTTAAATAGACCAGGATGATGTCATCACTGTGAGCCTATCAGGTGCAAAGATCAGAGGGGGGGTTAATTGTAATGATGAAAATTATAATGGATTATGTTTATCTGCAAATATGCAGAACTATTAATGACACATTTATACTTACACTACCTAACACAAAAAACATAAATCAGTAATATTGGTCGCGAAAGGCTACGTGTTAAATTGAAGAGGAGGGAAGTTCAACATGTGCCTCATTTCATTGCCTGCACCATGGCCAATGTCAACCACGCTTGTGCTAATGCTAGAAGAAGCTGTTCTCATGGTGTCAGGGGACGAGGAGACAAGACTGGAGGGTGCCCCATGGCCATGGGAGCACAGCAGGAAGAGGAAGATGAGTGGAGGGGAGCTCCTCCCTGTTCTCACAATGGGGGAAGTCCTTGGCGACGTAGGCACAATGTTTCAGCTGAAATTCCCGCAAGGAGGCTGCAGGAAAAAAACAGGGCGGAAGTCAATGACACAGCGCCTAGAGTCCAACAACAAAGTAATGGGCATGGCCAGGTATAGATCGCATTCCAATAGAATGTTTAATGCTCATTCTATTGAACATTTGGGCATTTTAGTAGGCGTGCATATATACAGGGTGGCCCAAAAGTCAGGGAACATTTATTTTAATATTGGCAATGAACATTTTAATTGTTTATTCCGTAGGTTAATATGTTATCTGTCATCATTATTAATATCTATTTTCATCTTCCTTTTCAGATGGCATTTAAAAATGTTAAGAAGATTGACTGAGGACGAACAAGTTCAATTCCTTTTTATATAAGCTAAATAAGGAAACTGTAATCTCTTTCAAAAAATATCCCAAATCCATTTCAAAAGAATGAATGCATGCATTAATGTTAATGGAAATAAGTTTGAACATTTGATTAAATAAATTAAATAACCTAATGTGATTTTCAAAAATAAATATAACGCTAAGTGTCCTGACATTTGGGCCACCCTGCAATATATACCGTGTTTTCACAGCTCTTTGTCCATCCACTGCTTCACCACACCCACCTTCACCAACCGGCCAGTGTCGGTTGGTGAAGGTGGGTGTAGGGAGACCCAGGACAGGTTAAACAGATATCGCTGGCCAATGATGTTAGCCGTGATTGGGACTCAAACTCAGGGTCACCAGGTTCTCGATTGAACAATATTCTCAATACCAAAGCGGATATCGACACGCCACATTGACAGAAAGAGACCAAAACTATATGCATACTTTTTTCACCAACTATTTGTGAAACTCCTTCACTGTCATGGGGTGCCACAGTAGCGTAGATGTTAACTTCTTAGATGTTAACTTCTTCGCCTAGTATACAGGAGGTCGTGGGTTCGATCCCGACCCTGACGCCTGTATATTTGGAGTTTGCATGTTCTCCCCGTCGACGTGTTGATTTTTCCCAGGCCCTCCGGTTTTCCCTCACCATTTAGAAACATGCGTTTTTTGAAAAATAGTTAGAGAGCTCAGTGGGCCTTACCAGGTAAAATAAAAAAAATGTATGATTAAAAATGAAAATGGCCACTTTGGTAGAGACAAAAACTATATGTAATTTGTATTTGTTGTTCATCAGTGTAGAACATTCACCTGGGTTTTTAGCATACTGCAGGTGGTACGGTTCAAGGCACTCCTCTGTCTTCTTGTAACAGTCATCCAGTGCGCACTCTTTGGACGACAAAACGACGGAACTTGTTGATGAGTGGGCGGACGAGATCGGCACGACATCGTGACATGCGCGGAGAATACATCCAAGTGCGTTTCGCTGGCATGTTGCTCACCGAGTACTCGGTCAGGAATTCTGCGGAGATTCAGCTGTCTCTTGGCTGGAACGAGAAGAGAGGTGGGACAGTGGTGCAGGTGAGGGCTATTTAATTTATAGATTTGAAGTTTTCGTGACTGCAGGGACCCATACTCTTTGGTTCTTTCGGTAAAGTCACGTAGGTATAAAATAAAATAAATTACATTAAGACGTTTCGGGCGCAACACAAGCATCCGTTATCAGGTCGGACAACCACAGCAAGAAACAATTGCTGAAGTGGGCAAAAGGGCTGCTGTAACAAGAGGCTATATAGGTTAGAGAGGGGGAGGAGCAAGGGGGGAGATATAGAGAGGGGCGGGTGTGGGGTAGGGGGAGGGGAGTGCTGCGAGAACTTTTAGAGGACGAGCAGACAAAATGCGGGGGGGGGGGGGGGGGGGGAGAGAAGTTGGCGGGACTGGGAGTGGGAGGCTGAAGAAGCTGGAGATGCGGAAATGACGGCAACACCATGAAGCAGTTAAGATTTTACCTGGTTAATAACATCCTTCCAATGATTTAAAGCTTTCGTGACTGCAGGGATTCATGTTCTTGGTTCTTTCGGTAAAGTCACGTAGAAGGGAAATAATATTGTTTAATATTTTTATTATTTTATTATTTCCCTTCTACGTGACTTTACCGAAAGAACCAAGAATATGAATCCTTGCAATGATTGCTCAATTTGTATCCATCTTCTCGGTTGAAGTTATGTCTATGTTTATAAATCTGGATGACTTCATGAACAAACCTTTGATAGTAGCCCGAAGGTTTGCAGAGAGAGAGGAGAGAGGGCAGAGCATGGTAAGAGGCAATCAGGGCCCAGCACCAATAATAACAACATCAACAACATCAATGACAACGAGCCGCAGGGACAGACAGGGTAGCTAGCGCAGCATCAACGAGTTCCAGGACATCTGCAGGGGACCCGGCTCAATCTTTCGAAGCCACGCATTTATGAGGACACAGCTCTTGTGATGCCGCCGCCGCGAAGCCGCTCTGCGGGCGCCCCATCTACGACCTCGCCACCACCAAGCGACGGGGCCGACACTGCTTTCCCCTCACCACCCCCTACATAAACACACCCTCACACATTTCCCCCCCCCCCCCCCCATAGAGCTCCGAGGGGAGGTCACCTGGCCGACAGGTTTTCACCCAGAAGCCCTCTCATAGGGATAATCTTCACGATTTCCTGCGGCCAGGGAATTGGGCAATCTCCCCCGATGCTAACCCGCACCGCGGCGCAGTGACTTGGGTTGAGATACATGGTCACGGCGGGGCTACCCAGCCACCGCGGTTAAAACGCACCCCCACACACGGATCGGCAGGCAGGTAGGGGGGCGCAGCCATGAACGGCAGGAGGCCAGGGTGGGCGTCTGATTGGCAGGACGAATGGGCTTGTGCACGGCCGCCGGCGCTGCAGCCAATTGGCGGTCCCTTTGATATGGAAACTGGGATGTGGGCGGCGATGAGAGCGCCGAATGCTGTGGCGCAAGCCGAGCAATCTGATTGGCCGAGAAGGCCCTCGGATTAGCAATGGCTTTCTTTGATGTGGGTAAACAATAAAAGGGGGACGCAGAAAGGTAAAAGGTCTCTTGCTTCTCGAGTCAGCCACCGGGGCGGTCGTCTCTTCAGGGCAGCTAATCGAACGTCCGCGAGACGAGTCGAAGTGCTGCGAAGACAGGCACACAGGAGCGGCGAACCGTGAGTAAGGGAGAGAGAGAGAGCCGGTATCGAGCGTAATAGCAAAAGAGGTTTAAGTCACAACCGACCAGGGTACAGACCATAGAGAAATAGTGTAAGCCTGCCTTGCCGATTCCTACTGACTCAACAGTGGTTCACAGTCAGCCAGTAATAAATCGTTAATAAATAATCACAGCCTCGTGCGGTTTCGACAAGCGAGTGGATGCGCGTGGTGCTGTGTGTATGTACGCTCACAGCGTGTGTGGTCGGTGCTCCACGGGTGTGCACTTCATCTTGCTGCTGCGGACCCCCGCACTGCGTGTGGACTAACTCCCCTTGCGAACACCCGTCCCACAGCCCTTTAAACCACCAGTAACGAAAACCCCCAATCGGCAACGCGGACGCGAGCAACGTCATTCGCCCTCCGACCCCTGACCCCAAGTTCAGAGCGTGTGATTGCTGCGCGGGGTTGTGTGAGGGGAGGCGTCGCGTTTGATTGGTGGAGAGGCAACGGAGTGTTTTGAGGCGGCCGGGAGCCGGCGACGAGCCATGCCCCTCTCGCGGACTCGCGGGGGTGCGACCCCGAGAGAAGAGCCGGCGGGCGGCAGCCCTTCTCCCTCAAGCGACGAGCACAGCGGCGGCAGCAGCTGTTCACACACGAGCGAGGGATCTGGAAACGGCGGACCCCATGCGGCCGACGCCCAGCAGGGAGAGGCCTCGGAGGACAGCGGCCTCAACACTCTCACCAATGGTCTCGATCTTCTTCTTGTAGATACTCTGAAAGCATTGCTTCCTGGCGCGCACATAGCCCTTGCCCTTGCATGCTGTGGGAACAGTGATGCATTGACTCAGAACAACCTCCCGCACCTACCAGACACGCAGATCCCAATTGCAACTCTCATTTACACGTAAACACAAAAATGTACAGGGACTCCTCTACTTAAGAAAGAATTAGGTTCCAGAGGTCTGTTCGTGAAATTGATATATTTGTCCAAATTTACTCCTTACGATTCCAAACATGTTGTAGGGCATGTACACTGAACACGGGGAATGGCTTTAAAAGTTGTATAATCTCCTGTAGATGTAGATGCCACTGGTTTTTCATGTTCTGCAGATGTAGATTCCACCACCGGCATCTATTGCGTTGCGGTTAAACTTACGACTCTCGGTTCGAAACAGCAACTGGACATGAGGGTAGGTTTGTTCGTATCTCTGAAAGTTTGTAAGTCGAATGTTCGTAAGTAGAGGAGTCCTTGTATAACTTAATAGGCTCAAGCCTCCCGTAAATCACGTGACTCCTCCCCCGAGCCCCCTATGAAAACTGACGCTGCCCCATACAACATCGAGGCCCTTATGTAGTCACATCCTTCCTGTCCTCATCTTTTCTGACATATGGTCCCATTATTCTTCTTCCTCTTATTTCCAATTCGTTCTCTGCTCTCTGCCCTTTCCTGTTCCAGTTTATTTTTTCCAGACATGTCCGTGACTCTACTCCACTTCCAGTGGTGTGGCACGGGTAAGAAAAAAGTTTATAGTCTTTACATATATTGTGAAATCATTACGATTGACTAAGCTAATATTGCTCATTCAAGGGACACCGTAATGATGGCTATGTAAGTAATAACCAATCCCATGAGAACTCGGAAGGTAAACAGAGTTGAACCTGGATGGTTGCTTGGATGGGAGAGCAAGACGCTTACAACAGGTGTTATAGACCATTGTGGGTCCATGTGCTGGGCGGCGGAAGACAATGCAGCAAAATTAATTGTTGAATTGTATGTCAGTGCGCCCACGCACGTTGCTCTCCCATGCTACCATGCACTGGCCAGTGTGGTGAAGTATGGTAAATTAACCCTCATGACCCGTACGGCCGTGGTAATACCCTCATCCAGCAGTAGACTGCTGGATCAGGATACATGTTCCTCAGAGTAATGATGACCGTCAGATTGCCAACTCGAGTGATGGTTGTAGTCATGGTTGTAGGCCTCCGTTGATGACAATGATGAACACGGTGGGTATGAAAGTTAAAACCATGGCCAAGTTTATATAATCTCCACTCACCACCACCTCTGTCCACCCAACAATATAAATGGGCACAGCACAGTAAATCGGCAGGTCTAGTGTGGTGGGGTGAAGTGTGGGCACTCCTGCCTCTCACGTACAAGACGTCTGGCCAGTGTCGACGAGGTCAAATTGCACTGCAGTAGAGAGGCTCTCTGGAGCTCCCTCATGCGGAGACCCTTCTGCCAGCAGCGGCACGAGCGACCAATTGTGAGGCTACACCTCTACCTTTATGATCGTGTCAATGATAGCTTGCCCGCAAGTATGGCCGGTGATGATGACCGGCGTTAGTGGCGGCGACAAGTGAAGGTATTGATGGCAACAGAGGAGGGATCGCAGCGAGTTGTTGTTACCTGTGAGCTCGTCATAGCTTTGGCGTGAGTTAATTAGGCAGTGCAAGTCCACTTCATCAAACTTGTTCCCCTCGCAGACTGCCGTTGCCACGCAGAAGTGTGAAGGAACACAGTTATTGTTAGTACATAAACAACTAAACATTTGTCGGATTTGAAGTGCATACAGGAATTACAAATGGATGATGGCCCAGTTGTGAGGCAGTGCAAAGTGATTAGCAATCACAGGATAACATAAGTATCACACATCAAGTGGCTCACTTGGTCTACACCTGCCATTTAGGCTTTTTGTTTACAATATCATTTATTTATATTTTTAGCCAATGTTAATCCCGATTGTGATATTGGCGTAGCGTGTCACGAGAGGAGGGAATTCCATTCAAACCTATCGTGGCCTTTCATCGTAGAGAACGGCCCATGGAAGTGAATATCATAGAGCCACCTCTGAAATCGCCTTCAATTTTGTGATATAACCCGAAGACCCACATTATGTGTGGAGGCCCTCATCAAGCAGTGCAATGGCTCCTCCCCCCTTTCCACCGCGATTTAATTAATCTTTTCAATTCAATTCGACAGTTTGATTGAAAAATTGAATACCATTAAAATGATGGTGGAAGTAGCGACCTCTAGTGGCTGGAGGGGTCACATTAACCAATTTTATATAACGTACATTGATAAAAAATAATTTCTTTCAAATGCGATTCCATGTGTATCGTTTGCTTAAAACATTGATATTAATTGAAGAAGTGATGCATCATCATACCCCTACCTTTAAAACACCTACGTTACAACTTTTGTTTGCAATTTGCAGGAGGCTGTGTGGCTAGAACGTCGCGACACAGTGCAGTGTGGGATTGAATGGAAGTTGACCCTATCCCTGCGCCGGGGAATTTTACAGCAGAATTCGCTGAATTTCTGTACGATAAGGCAATGAGATGGGATTTGAAAAGACACTGAAAATGTCAATTTTGAAAATACATTTAAATTCCTCTGCTGGTGTGCATCAGTGTTATCTACTTTTAATGGACACTTCAAAGGCCTGGCTTTTGAGTGATATTGATCTTGGAGGCACAGTCATTCAGGCCCGTAAAATATTGTGCGTGTTACAAATTGCATAATTATAATTATTAAGGGTAGGCCTAACAGTAAAAGAGCATCATGAGGCTTCCTTTGCCAGTACGAAAATGTAAAAATAGGGTTTCCCCCTTTTTTCCTCAACAAAACTGAAACCTTTTTACGAGGAATCATGTCAGCATTAACCACAATACTTGCGGTCAAAATGCAAACAAATGCAAGTAAAAGCGCACTGGTTTGTTTTTGAAGTTGTGTCTTCTTCCTTCAAGTTTCCTTCATTCCCACTCAAATATGAGATGCATGCGGTGCCGGGACGTGCGGTGCTGGGGCATGCGGCTCACGCTTACTTTCCTCCGGTGTCAGGTACTTGTTGAGCGGCTTCTCGCATTTTGTCTTCACGCTGATGCACTCTTTGAACTGGCAGACTGGTCACACGGAGAGGGCAGAAACGCACCATCATAACGACAACGTAAACCCCCACGCACAAACGCATCAGAAGGCCCGGCGTAAACGCAAGCATCGTAAACTCATCGGCTCTGTGTCAAGCTTTTGACAACGATGAGGACATTTAAACTGTGGTGGCATAGGGGGTGGTGGTGCAGGGCGTGGTGCCACAGGTGGCACAGGTTGTGGGAGGAGAGTGTGGTGCTACAGGGAGTGGAGGTGCAGGTGGTTAGTGCCTGGTGTGGTGGAAGATTGTGTGGTGGCGCACGGTATGGTGTTGTTCAAAAAACTGCATTGGGTGCCTAAAGAAAATCCCCAGCACATGGAGTGAAAGTTTAGACAACACATGATATCGCCAGTAATGTACGTTTGCAATTCACAATGTGCTTATAGCTCAAGGCTATCACAAAGGTGCTATGCTTCACAAAGCCTGCAGTAGTTTATCAGTAGGGGACGATGTTGCTACATTTCACAGATTTTTGCAATTTGCAAGTACAGTCGACCCTTCCACATCGCGAGGGTTAGGAGCGCAGGCCCCCTGCGATCTGAAAAAAACGCGTACATTGTTTAGGTCCCGTTGGCGAGCGAAGCGAGCACCTCCAGCCGGGGGGTTCGGGGGGGGTGCTGTGAGCCTTTGCATGTCGTCTTCTGGCTTTCGCGTTCTTTTCGCAAACTTTAACTTTTTACAAAATGTAACTTTAAAACGATTGTGTATATTTATGGTATTAAAAGATACAATACATTAATATTATATAGTACTGTACATATATTATATGCATTTATGAGTTACTAAACTTTTTGCTTGTCATCTGCGGCAATCGCAAAACTCCCAAAAACTCCCCAAAAAAATCACATTTAATTTCTTATGCCGACCCCGCGATATATCGAAATCGCGATGGGGAAAGTCGTGATGCAGAAGGGTCGACTACTCGACTGTACAGCCTGTTCTCCTTTAATGTGTTTTCATAACGGGAATTGGATATAATGCGATGAATCTGAGGGAACACTTTTCATAACGCGGATGCGAATTGGATATAACGCAATTACATCACAGAACTTACACTACTATGTCGCTAGTAGGAATAAGCGGTTGTACGGCTGCCTCGGTGGAGCATCACACAAGCCGGGATGCTTCTAGATGCTACCCACTCGCCTCAGTATTTGTTCAGCCTGCATATGAAACTCACGTGTTATCCCAGACTGTGCTTTCATTCCATTATTATATATTATTTATTATAACGCGATTTTTTTCAGAACGTGGTGATCTTCAGGAACGCAACTACCACGTTATAGGAAAACAGTCTGGAGTTTGTTTAATCTTGTCAAATTTGGGTTGTAATGGCAGCACATATGGCCCAGCCACTACCCTGTTTGGAATGGCGGCATGGGATATTTAACATCTACTGTGAAGCCGACGACATACA